GTCCTTAGCGGCCTCTCGCTTCGCCACTTTGCTCCTTCGGGGAGCCTCGAGGCCGGCGCCGAGGGAGACGGGGAGACAGGCAGCGCTCTGTTCCTTATGGGCCACGCCCGGGCCACCATGCGTGACGTCGCGCTGAGTTCGGAGATCGGTACGATCGAAATGGGTACGGAGCGCGCGGGGGCGAAGACTGACAGCAGTTCTTGCCCATTATGAACAGGACTCGCTGTCGGTGTCGCCGCGGGGGTCGTCCATTATATACATGAAGTCGCCCGCCAACAGCGGCCGCTGTTGGTCTTCGACAACATCTGCTTTTGGTATCGGGCCCATTTTCTCCGTACCCATGTCGGGCGTGCCAAGGAGAGGGGCCTCGGCATCTGGATGGTGCAGTCTTCCCAGCTACAGGCCAGCGCGTGCCGCATTAGCCAGAGGGCTCCAGAGCGGCATTCGGCATGGGCCTTTCGGACGTCCGCGCGGGCTTCTTGGGCCGGCGCACGCCTCCCCGCAGCCTCTCCCAGGCGCACCAGTGGCGCCGCTAGGCCTGTGGAGAGGCGGGCCCAGCGCCGACCCGAGAAATGTCCGCGCGTGCCTCCGACCCTCAGAAGGCACATCTGCACCACCACCGTTCCTTGCCAGAGACATCCTGGGCCTGGCGATGTTGTATAGACCTCCTCGCCCCGGCCAGGAAGGCGTACACAACGTGCCCAGGCCCAGGATGGCCCTTGCCAGGCACAGTGGTGCTGTATATGTACCTTCTGCGGATTCGAAGGTCTGTGCCTGTGCCGCCTTTCGGCCCTCCAACAGCGGCTGCGGCCGCTCCGGCCTCGCGCTCTTCGGCGACGCCTCCGCCCTCGTGGACGGCTGCACCGTGGAGGCCTGCGCCATCCACGGGTGCTGCGCGCGAGGCCGCACCCGCCTGGTGCTACAAGGCTGCGAGGTCGCTGGCTGCGGGCGGCGGGGGGTCTACGGCTACCAGAACCGCGGCTGGCTGACCGCTCTCAGGGTCTCGTGCCCCCGGGCCGTCAGAGAAGGACTCAGACCGTTCCTCGCGCTCCGTGGCCTGGGCCGCAGAGTTGCCCCCCTCTCCAGGGTTGGCGGCGCGCATGAGGAGGTGGGCCGAGGGGTGCTGGGCGGCCTTCTCAGAAGGCACTTTAGGCGTTTCAGATGCCGTGCTGCAAGAGCCTTCTCACAAGCCTCCCGGGTGCGTCTGAGGAGCCCCCTGCCTTCGGAGAAGGCCGCACCCCTCCCGTCGCCCCCTTCTCCTTGCCACGGAGACTCCAGACGGTTGTTTCCCAAACCTGGGCCATGGGGTGCTGTTCGTAGGCCCTGGTGCAGTGAAAAGGCGACCTTTGCCCTGGAGTCAGTGTGGAAGGCTCAATGGGCCGCGGGGTAGCTCTCCCTCGCCCCGCCTCCTTGTGTGCGCCGCCAAGCGCGTTGACCACCACGCACGCCTCGCGCTCGTCGGCGCGTCGGTGCGGCCCCCCAAAGCGCCCTATAGGAGAGCCCCACATCGCGAAAAGGTCAACAGAACCACCACCTTGATCAGGGTCAATTTCGATCCGATCCGACTTGATTGCGATTCCGTTTTTTTCCCAACCCTCTTGTGTCGGGTCCTCGTTTGGAATAGAGCAGTGTGGTCTCCCCGTCCTTCCTCCTTCCTCCTTCCTCCTCCCCTCTCCTCCCCTCCTCCTTCTCTCCTGTGAAAGTGTCGGCCAGCGGAGGTACGTTATACGCAGACCACCACTATAGCTCGCGGTGCCCTGGGGGGCTGCGATCTGCGAAACTGTCGGCACTTTCGTGGGCTCCTGGGAGGCCCAGCGGCGGTACGTCATACGCAGATCACCACTATAGCTCGCGATACCCTGAAGGGCTGCGATCTGAGAAACTGTCGGCACTTTCGTGGGCTCCTGGGAGGCCCAGCGGAGGTACGTCATGCGCAGATCACCACTATAGCTCGCGGTGCCCTGGGGGGCTGCGATCTGCGAAACTGTCGGCTCTTTCGTGGGCTCCTGGGAGGCCCAGCGGAGGTACCTCATACGCGGACCACCACAAACGCCCCTTGTGTGTCGGTTTTGTATTTTCGCCGCTGCTCTTCTTGCTGCGCTCTTTTGAAATCACTGCTTGGTGCTCTTCTTGCGCACTGCGAGTCCTTCAGAATGCCAGTCAGCATTGAGTGGTCCTGAGTATACTCGCCACATGTACAGACAGGATTGGGTACGTCGCAGGGTCATTTGACGATCTGGTGCATCGTGGCGCGGCCGATTCGATTCGATTCCGGCTCCGTGCTGATGCGGCCCGACGCCCCGAATTCGATGCTGGCCGCTCCTGGCTGATGCCACGCTGGTCACGAACGGCCCCAGGACGGCTCCTCGGGCTCCAGCAGAGCCGCAGCAGAGCCCCCCCGAAGACGAGGGGAGCACCCCTGGAAGGGGCCCAGACAAGGCGAGGCGACCCAATGGGAGGGCCAGCTGACCACGGCACCCGGAACAATACGCTTGAGATGTTCGAGTGCTCGGTGCACGGCACACAAGACGCCTCGCGCGCCGCCGTGGAGGCGGCCGGTCGCCCGCGCCAACTGGCGCCGTTGCCGCCGCCGCTGGCGCCAGCGCCGCCGCTGCCGCGCAGACGCCGTTGTCGCCTCCGCCGCCGCCGCCGTCTCCTCCGTCGCCGCCGCCGCCGTGGCCGTGCTGTCTCCGCCACCGTTCAGGCGGCCGGTGCCAGGCAGGGGGACCTCGTGGTGGCCCGCATCCGGCGCTGTCGAGTCTTCGGCAACGTGGGGGCCGCGATCCGCCTGAGGGGCGCCGTGGAGCACGCGCTGGAAGGTCGGGCGTTGCCAGAGGTGGCCCCCTTCAGCCAGGGCGCTGGGAGTGTCAGCTGTGGCTTCGACCATGGACATCGCCTGCACAATCAGAAACTGTCCGAGGTCCGCGCGGATTTCTTGGATCGGCGCTGGCCCTCGGGGAGGTCGAGCGCCGTTCCGAGAAGCCCGCGCGGATCCCGAAGTGTTAAGTTTATGATGGTCTTTCTTTTTCTATGACTACCTCGCCGATCCTGGCTGGGCCGATCCTGGCACACAGTCGGTGTATATGCTTGCCTGGCAAAGCCAGCAGGGCGTGTACACAGATCCCAGGCCATGGACGGGCCCAGGCGGGATCGGTGAGGCGGTCAGCGGAGGTTCCCCGAAAGGTGGTCGCAGTTTTTTCAGCAGGCCCAGATGGTCTCCAGACATTGGCGGCGCGCAGAAAGAGGGTGGCGGGCCGCTGAGAAGGCGGGGGAGCTTCTAGGAAGACATGGGGCTTCTTAGAAGCCCCTGGGTCCTCCCAAGAAAGCCCGTGCCTTCTAAGACGCCCCCCCCCCCCCCGCCTTCTTAAATGGCTGCCTCCCTCGCGCCTCTCCCCTCACGGGGCCTGGGGGGCCCAGGAGCTCCAGAGTGGCGCGAGACGCTGGGGCCTCCTGGGCCGAGACCACCTCTAGCAACTTCCGGGAAGGGAACAGCTGCAGCGGGAGCGCCCACGGCGAGGCCCCGACGGGTGGGCTCTCCCCAGACTCTCTGGTCGGACTCAGGGGGGATCGGGAAGGGAGGGGTCACAGGAAAGCTTGTAAAAGTGGCTGTGGCCAGCCCTTCACTCCTTCTAGCCAATTTCGTTTCAGTTTTCTAGCCCTGGAGACCTCATCCCAACTGTTTCGTGCTCGTTTCATTCCCTGCCAGTTTTTCAGTCTTGGCCACTTCCACTGTCATGGAATTTCCAGCTTCCACTTTTTCCAGCCTTTCTGGACGGAATACGCTACACGCAGTTGGTTTCGACCCCGCCGGCCGGCGCTTTCCTCTATGCATGGGCGCCTCTGGCGGGATGCGCGGGGAAGTCCAGAAGCGTGAGCTGGTTCGCGCCCCCCCCCCTTTGTTAGCCACTCTTTTGTCCGACCCGACACTGCTCCCCTCCTCTGCTCCTTGAGTTTCCCGGGGTGCTCCCGAGAGCTCGACATCAGACGTTTACGACGCTGTCGGCCTCTCCTTGCTGAGGAGGATTAGGAAAAGCAGGAGGAGGGGAAGGAGGAGGGAGGTGGATTGGGAAGAGGAGGAGGATGGAGGGGGAGGAGGGAAGGGGATCGTGGAAGTGGAGGGCGGGAGGGGACGGAGGATGACAGGGTACGGCAAGAGCGATGATGAGGAGGAGGAGAAACAGACGGGAGCGCAACTCTCAGAATATCCTTGCGCGACGCTTCGGCAAGAGCATGCGACACAAGTTCCGACGACTGGGCGAGCCCAATATTTGGGCCGTGCTCAAGCGGCAGCACTACGTTCAGGCGAAATGGTACGGTACCGCGCTCGGGCGAGAGCGACATTGCGTCCGCTCGCGCGGCTCTGCCTCTGTTGTCTGGGCCAGAACAGCATGCGCTGGAATGTCGACGACATAACGTCAATGTTGAAAGTCGGCGTCATCATTTTCTGATGGTTCGACGCGCCCGCCCGCTTTGAGCCGCTATCGGCCAGCTGAGTGTCCAGTTCCGAGGTACTGACCCCCATGACCGATGTTTTCTGTTTGGGCGGGTGGGAAATATTGTGGTCGTCTCCGGCCGGTGCCGCCGATCCGGGGCGCTCCCGATGGTGCTCGGGTTCGCTTGGCAGCCTATGGGGCCGTCTTGCGGCCCTCATGGGGCCGTCGTAGGAGGAGCCCTCTTGAGGGGGTCTTTGAGCCTCTTGTCGGCTTCTTGGAAGCTCTTTTGGCTGCCTCAGGGCGTTCCTGGCCCGTCGGACGCTGTCGGAAGCCGTCTTGGGCGCCTCGCTTTGCCGTCTGGGAGCGCTCTGTGGGCGCTTCAGGGTCGTCTTGGAGGCTGTCTTGGCTGTCTTAGGGGCCTATGGGACCGTCTTGGGACCCTCTTGGGGCCGTCTTAGGAGTTTCTTGGGCTGTCATGGGGCCATCTTGGAGGCCTCTGGGCCGATCCTGGGGGCCTCAGGGGCAGTCAGTAGGCCGAAAAGAACAAGCGCCCAAATCCTTCAAAAG